ATCTTTTGACAGAAGAAGAAGATCTTTCAGGCAGCGAATTTGTTGTCTCTTACGTTAGCGATAGTGATATTGTTGATGATGACGTGCAGGAATTGTAAGTTGTTCCTAACTTGTACATCTTTTGGGATACCTTATTGCTTTCGTTTTTTGTCGATGCAATGAAATAGGAGCACAGATCTTCATAAAGTCGATTTTTTTAAAATTTATTAGGTTGAACCGAAAGTTCTTTCGCACCAAATTCAAAAATTCATAACTTCTAAATTTTTTAGCCTATTGGAACGCTCTTATTTTTTCTGAAAGAGTAAGTCATGCTCTTTGTAACGACTTCTTAGATGCTTGCTAATGATCTGTTGCGTAGATAGGAGCTGTAGAAGAAAGTTAATCAATTCGAATTTTCTGTGTAGGGTCATAAAAAATCGAAAACTTGCAACAAAAATCGGAGCAGTCGGTATTGTAAGTTCTTTCGTCAGTACTTTCTAACAGTGCAAAGTTTGCGCCGATTGAGCGTCTCTATAAAAAGTTACAATTTTCCTGAAAAATGCCAAAATAAACCAAAATCATCTTTTTGTATTGCTTGCTCGAAAATCGTAACTTTTCATAGAGACGTTCAATCGGCTCAAACTTTGCACAGTTAGAAAGCTGGTGAAAAAACCTACAATACCGACTGCTCCGATTTTTGTTGCAAGTTTCCGATTTTTTATGACCCTACACAAAAAATTCAATTTTTGACCAATTTTCTTCTACCGCTCCTATCTGTGCAATAGATGATCATTAGTAAGCAATTGATGGTTTTTATAAAGAGCATGACCTACTCTTTCATACTAAAATAAGAGCGGTCCAATCAGTTAGAAAATTCAGAAACTATGAATTTTTGGATTTGGTGCGAAAGAACTTCCGGTTCAACCTAATATTATTATTTTTTAATTCTAGAAGAAAATTTTCAATTTGTACCTAAATAAGGTACAAATTAGAACACTTCATACCACGCTTTTTTACCTTTTCTCTCTCCCTCCCCCCCCCCCCCTCCCCCCAGGCTCACATACCCCCTTCACCTGGGGAGAGCCCGGCTCCCCCTATCGCACCTATGATCACGACTGCATAAAGTACGTTACCAGCATGTAGGTCAGGGCCCGGCAGGAGGTGGCACTTCAGAATTTTGAAAACGATATCTCCTTTGAAGCCAAAATTTCTGACGACTTCCCCTTTGACCCTATTTTTGACCCCCGTAAGTCCCTGACAAACAGATATACACAAATAATAAGATGGGCGGCCTCAGCGCTTATTATAGTAGTACTACTACTGGCTTTCCTGGTCCAGCCCGGATCATCAAGGTTTCAGCTCAATGGGTTCATCCGCAAAGGAATCTATAAAGAAACATAGGGTCAAGATTTGCACAAACTTTGACGTTTATGTATCCAAGATACTACTCATTTGTTAGTCAGCTGCGAAACTTTACAATTTACAATAACCGATTGCGATTGGAGCGCGCTTTCCGAGGCCGATCATAACGCTGTGAACCCTATTTGAGGCTGTATCGAAGCGGTGCCTTGGTGGTTTTGGAAGCGGATTTGAACATATAGTAGTACTCTCGACCTAGTCCACATTTATGTAAAGAAATCCGGGAAATTATGTGAAGGGAAGCAGGGAGCCACCCCAGGTGGCTCCCAGGTGGCGCGGGAGCCACCTAATTTCGAAAAACACTTACCATTTTTTAAACATAAGTTTCTCATAATTCTTCATACTTTTTTTGTGCTCATGGTCCTCCAACTACACAGCAAATTCGGTGCCATATCGTTACTTGTGCATTGAAAACGAGCCTATTTTGTTATTTTCCTCTTAAAGAATTGCAATTTGAATTCCCGCCTGCGGGCAGGCTAGCGATCGGAGCACAGAATCTTCACATTGCTGGAATCTAAGTTCATAGGACAGTAGCATCAACAGGGAATGATGAATAAAGAATGATATGTGCATTGTTTATCGGTAAACAAAGGAGAAGTATTTTGGGGTCCGGGGCTCCGCCCCGGACTTCAAAATACGACTTCCCCTTTGCTTTTTCGGGCCAAAAACGATAGCGCCACCCCCGCCGGGCCCTGATGTAGGTCCACAACGCACAAGGAAGGCCGTTGTAATAGGATCCTTCGAAGACTGCGCGCTATGCGTCATTCGGCTTTTAACCAGCAATATTGCATCGATATACAGGCTTTGACAAAGTTCATGGTTCGACAGTTGATCTCCAAGTCATAGTTTAGCAGATACCTGGATTTGACAACAAGTCTTTTATGTTTGCACAACTTTCCCAGAATCTAATGTGTATGTAGGTAGGTTAATTGGTTGTAGGCAGGTAATAATTCAATAGCGTGTAGTCTCAATTCCCCTTTCTGATACTGAGCATTTGTACGGAGGCTCTTCCTTAGAAATTTGACAAACTGCTTCCAGTCAGAGCTAGTGTTTCTAAAGCAATTGTTGCCGACGTTTTTGCCGACTATGCTTTTATTGACCAAAAATTTCGACAAAAGCATGATCTAAAACGGTGTTTATCAGTCCTTCACGTTTTACTTTGTAGATAAATTCTATGAAACCAGGGGTTGCTTTGGTTATTCATAGTCTACGTGCAGTCGTGCTAAACATATCAATTTGTCGCAAATAAGCCATGTATTTTTTGTTGGCGATAATTGTTTGGTTTGGGGTACGCTAGCTGGAAGCATTGCTATAAGTTCTGATACGCAAAATGTAACAGATTTCGTAGCAAGCAAAGCAAGCTGGGATGCCATGCCTTCTCTCTTAATTAGTACAAAATTAGCGATTCTGACACATGTTCACTCAGACAATCGCTGGGGGCAGGCGGGCACCGGAAAAATAGATTGCTGATCTCTCGCACCCCGCTCGCGGATTTTTTGGAAAGCAATCAGGAGTTTTCGGAAGACCGCTTGCTGAGTCAGCGGATTTTTGAGAGACCGCCTGTTGAACTTTTTTCGCTCTTCTTTTGCAGATATATTGCTGAATCTCTGAGGAATCGAGAACTCAGCAAGCGGTCTTCCGAAAAGTCCTGATTGCTTTCCCAAAAATCTGCGAGCGGGGTGCGAGAGATCAGCAATCTATTTTTCCGGTGCCCGCCTGCCCCCGGCGTTTGTCTGAACAGTTGATGTGATGTCACCATACAGTGTAGGTTTAGTGCGCATAGATAGAAGAGACATAGGGATGGCATTGAGATATGACAAATTTTTGAATATTTTGTTGCCGCTGCATAAAGCTTAGGGTTGCTATATATATAAGCCTTTCGCGAAAGATGGTGTTTAGCTAATAAGACAGTGACTCGCGAAAAAATTTAATCGTCATCCACAGCATCAAAATTATCGGGATTCTCGATTACAAGATATTTTGCGAATGTTACGAAGAGGACCATGAAGAATTAAACACGCTAAAAATCATCTACTTTTTTTCTAGTCCCACTATGCATCATTGAAAAATTGCTTTTCGGGTGAAATAACCCCGCCATCTGCTCCAAAACGCTTGTTTAGTATGTGGTTCATTCCATAGCTTTTGCCCATAAGAAATCCTTCCATCTCCCTTCCTGAAGTACTTCAATCGTGGTCCATAATAAATTTCCCTTCTATTCCTTGGACGATATCCTCGTATATTTCCACCCTCAAAAGTTTGCCTGGGTGGTTCGTTTTTGTGCCATTCCCATGGCGCACGTGCGAATATATCCACCCATTCAGTGCTTTCGATTGGCGGTGGCTCCGTCTCAACGCCTACTCCGACTACTTCGACTAATGGTGCCTTGCTTTGCGCCTTTGTACTTGTAGAAGTTCTTTCAGTGGTTCTTTCCGCTGTGGAAGCCTCTTCAGTGGTTCTTTCCGCTGTGGAAGTCTCTTCAGTGGTTCTTTCCGCTGTGGAAGTCTCTTCAGTGGTTGTTTCCGCTGTGGAAGTCTCCTCTTCAGTGGTGCTTTCCTGTTCGCCCACATCTGGACCACTCCACTTCCAAGGAGTTTTTTCCAAATCTTCTTCAAGTAACGCACTATGAATTAACTGTCTTTCTTCCTCCTCTTCCTCCTCCTCCTCATCATCATCAGTTGTCGAATGCTGCCTGTCCTCACTTCCAAAGTTCTTCTTCTTATCGACTCTTTTCGATTCTGGTTTATCCTTTGAAGCTTTTTCTCTGAAATAGTCTCGATATCCATTCGTAGGAACGGATTTCATTGGTTTATTCCTATAATCATTTCCAGGGCGCTTTTTCACATTCGAAGTCGGATGTTGCCTGTCCTCACTTTCAAAGTTCTTCTTCTTATCGACTCTTTTCGATTCTGGTTTATCCTTTGAAGCTTTTTCTCTGAAATAGTCTCGATATCCATTCGTAGGAACGGATTTCATTGGTTTATTCCTATAATCATTTCCAGGGCGCTTTTTCACATTCGAAGTCGGATGTTGCCTGTCCTCACTTTCAAAGTTCTTCTTCTTATCGACTCTTTTCGATTCTGGTTTATTCTTTGGAGCTTTTTCTCTGGAATAGTCTCGATATCCATTCGTAGGAACCGATTTCATTGGTTTATTCCTATTATCATTTCCAGGGCGCTTTTTCAAATTCGAAGTCGGATGTTGCCTTCCCTCACTTTCAAAGTTCTTCTTCTTATCGACTCTTTTCCAACTTATTTCTTTCTTTGGAGTTTTCTCTTTAAGAAAGTCTCGATTTCTATTTGTAGAAACCGATTTCATTGGTTTTTTCCTATTATTCAAAGTCGGATGTTGCCTGCTCTCACTTCCAAAGTTCTTTTTCTTATCGACTCTTTTCCAATTTATTTCTTTCTTTGGAGTTTTCTCTTTAAGAAAGTCTCGATTTCTATCCGTAGAAACCGATTTCATTGGTTTTTTCCTAATGACATTTCCAGGCCGCTTTTTTAGATGAGAAGTTGGTGAACTCATTGAATTTTTTTTATTTGTTTTCTCGGGACTTTTCTCTGCATGCTTCCAAGGAGTGTTTTCTAAATCTTTTTCAAGCAAACCGCTATGAATCAACTGTCGCTCTTCTTTATCATCATCAGTTGATGGTTTTGTCGAATGCTGCTTTTTCCCACTGTCAAACTTCTTCTTTTTACTGAGTCTCCTTGAACTTAATTTTTTCTTTGGAGCTTTTTGCTTGAGGAAGTCTCGATCTCCATTCGCAGAAACCGATTTCATCGGTTTTTTCCTATTACCTTTTCCAAAGCGATTTTTCACATCAATCGGTGAACTCATTATATTCTTTTTGCCTGTTTTCTCGAGGCTTTTCCCTTGGTACGCCCAAGGTGCTTCTTCATAGGGGTAGTTGCTTTCAGCCCTTCTTGCCCTTGCCTTTTGACTTTCATGAACTTCGTGGTGTCTTTTATATATTTCGTTTCTGCCATCTTTGGTGACCACCAAATCCGACGCCTTTAGTTTTCTCTCTTCAATTTTTGATAGCCCACTGTCCTTGATCGATTCGATCGATTTGTCTTCGAAAGATTGTTTGGTTTCTTGCACACGTTGCCCATGTTTTAGGCTTTGCCGTCTTTTTTCCAACTCAATGCCTAAAGATACTCGACGTGCTTTATAGGATATTCAAAACTTGTGTCATCTTAGAAGTCACATTTCATACCTGACAAAGCCTCTTCTTCTCTCATCTGCTGCGAGTTTGCGTAATCTGATTTCCCACCGTGTTTTGCAGAAACTTCTTTCTTCTGAAAACACCCTTTGCTTTGCTTTCTCTTATATATAAGAGGAACTCAAGATTTCGATGAATACTTTGAGCGAACAATAACAAGCCGTTATCCACGCATGAATTATACTGATGCGCTATTTATTTTCTATTCACTATATCGAGTATTACCTTACCCCCTACCCATGTGAGTGTTACACTTGCATGGTCAAAGGGGCTTAACCAGGATTTCCGTTCGGGATGGGAGAGGGTGGGGGGCGGGGGTGGGGGGAGAAAAGCGGCAAGATTTTTTCCGGATGCCCCCCAAAACCTTGCGTGCCCATAACCCCGAAATCTTAGAGAAGCACACCCCTCGAAAACATTTTTTGCAAGGACAATTTGGATTTTCGAATTTTTAATAAAAAATTAAAATATTATCTTGGTTATTCACAAGCAAAGATAGATAATTCACTTGCACATTTCTATAACACATGTGACTAACTTGCAAAAATTTCGCGACCCATCCTCGGGGAACGAGGGGGGGGGGGAGAATGGGGCGCTCTCCCCTTCGGTACGCCACTGATTTTGATAGAGGGTTTTGAAAGCAAATAACTAACCTGTGCATCAGCAAATTCTATCAGCGTCGTAGTTGGGGTTCCATTGTTCATCTCGAGACCTAAGACAACTCAAGATTGAGAAACAATCTTCTTTAAATTTTGTTGAATTATGTTGAATGTCAAGAGATCGAAGAGCTTGAATTCGCTTTCTGGGCTCAGCTGCTGATATCAAAAGTGATTTCAACTATTGTAAGTCAAAACAATGAAACTTCACTGTTTTTTTGGACATATCCTTGATAAAGCTCAGATTTTAGCAAGTGCCAGTTTTTCTTTTTCCTTCTAACAAATGAGATTTCTAAAACCTTTCCGCAAGTACTGAAGTGAATTTAGAAGTCGCAAAAGTATTAAACTTAAGCTTTCCATCTTTCAATCCTACAGATAACTTATGAGTGTCCAAAAACTTTGAGTCATGGTAGTTGAGGTAAACGCTTGATAACCTCGCACAAGCAAGATGTAGTGGAAATCAAGCTTTAACCCTTCAAATTCTGGAGATATTGTAAGCTCGATCCATTTTTGTTTTTATGCAATTTTTTATTTGAAGGCTTTCGAAGAAGTTGCTGAAAAACTCTAAAAGGGTTATAAATGCTAGTGAAAGTTTATGCCGGAAAGGTTTCACTCTTTTTATGGAAAAAACTTTTCAAAACTGAGGTAAGTTGAAGATTAGCCAATGTTACACAAAGCAAAATCGATGCATTCATAATTTTGGGGATCTTGAAGCAAATATGGAAGAAGTCGGTTTGATAACGTAACTGGTGAAGGTAGGAAGAAAAGTTGCGCTGAACCATTTTCGCAGTATTTAGCTGTCATTAATCTATCCAGTTTTTGGGAAGGGGTAAGCGTGGTAAACTTCTCATTTTTCTAAACTCAACATATCAGAGGTCCAGGTCTTCTCTCAGATGATACAATATCGCTCATAATTTCTGCAAAGCGACCACCATCTGATAATGGTGATATCACCGAGTGGCCATATCTCGTTTCAGAGTGAATAAAACCTGAATCCACTGGCAGCATTCGATTCAGCTCGATGAAGCGCTCCTTTTTGATACAGATACCCTTTGATTTAAGGGGTTAGCGGCCGGGAAAGCGGGGCTTCGATATTTAATCAAGGCTAAGATAAATCAGAGAGCACGCCCGCGGGAGAGACCCGGACTTCGTCGCGGGCGCGAGCGGTTGCTTTCCAGCAGCCAATTTCGTTGAATCAAAGGTACCTCTTTGGTTAGGGTAAGTGCACGGTAGGCAGCCAAATTTTGCAAATCATTTGAGATTTTTGCTCAGGTAAGTCGCTTAGAGAGCTTTACTGCATGTTGACTAGTCTAACGAACGGGAATTACTTATTCCTGAGATCTGGCTGCTTTTCGAGCACATACCGTATCTAAACAGGCGCCTTGTATTTTGTCCATCGTGGAGCGAGGTATGAAGCACGCTAAGGGTGTTGTCACCTGACTCATGTGACATCACTATAGCGTTTTATGCAGAAATTATATGCGGTATCTCATAGGTAGTACTGCTGTGGCGGTCCCAGGATTTCGGTCCGGGGAGGGGCGGCAAAAAATTAATTTCAAATAAAGGTGCGTGGCGTCAGCCGCACTCCGACAATTTTTTGGGTGCATCTCAAAATTTCTACGGGTCCATAGCCCATAAAATCTAGAAAAAGGAGGCGTTTCGGCAGCCACGTTTTTATAACACAAGTAGGTAAGTTTCAAAACCGTCGCGATCAATTCTCGGGGGGGGGGGAGGCTCGGTCCGCCCCTTTATACCATGAATAATTCAACTTCACCAACAAAAATCAATTCTACTACTGGAAATGGAACTGTTTACTAATTGAACGCTCCAGCATCTTATATATAAAGCTGAATGTCTGTTTGTCTGTCTGTCTGTATGTATGTATGTATGTCTGTGTGTACGTATGTTCCGAATAGAAAATTCCATTTCTGAACCGATCGGGACCAAACTTGGCACACATACACTTCGGGCCCCGGCGGGTGTCATAGGCTACTTTTCGTATCGATCGATATCGATTTTATCGATTTTTTGCAAAATTTGAGCTACGGGGCTGGGAGTTGGCACAGGGGGTAAGTGAGCATGGGGATTCCGAATACAATATTAGTTTTTAAAATCGTGCATTACTTTTATCGATTTTATCGATTTTTTTGCAAAGTTTGAGCTACGGGGCTGGAATTTGGCAGAGGGGTGTAATCGAGCATGCTGATCACTCCCGTAAAATCGACATCGATCGATAACGAAAAGTGGACTGTGACACCCGCCGGGCCCAAAGGGTATGTGTGCCAAGTTTGGTCCGGATCGGTTAAGAAATGGAATTTTCTATTCGGAACATACGGCGGAGCCGGGTAAGCCAGCTAGTACTACATAAGTTTATTGTTGAAATGTATAAAATACTGACACTTTTTGTGGACTTGCTTGTAGGTGAAGTCTGATAGAAACCTTTGTGCACAAATAAAATATGTACAGTCTAATCATTTCGTATGATCATGTGTGACATTGCATATGCCGTCCACCTTTGGCGTTCCCATCGTGGATTCTTGGAGGAGGAAACCCTTCATGCAGTTGTTTTCAAAGTGTTTTTAACGTTTTCTTTTCTTTTTGGATACTATCCACCTTAAAGTGATATAAGCGATGACAATCGGTCATCTCCTGCGTTTTGCGATTACAAATCCAGGATGGGGACGCCAAAAATGGACGGTGTGTGCGGTTGTATACATGATCATACGAAATGATTCGACTGTAAGGCTCCCGCCAGAGTGCCGAAGTTATGCCAGCGCTACGCCAGCATTTCGATCGATACACGTGTGTTTCGTTGGGGCGGAGCTAGCTCAGCAGGTAGATGTCCCCAATGAAATACACGTGTATCGATCGAAATGCTGGCTTAGCGCTGGCATAACTTCGGCACTCTGGCGGGAGCCTAAGCAATACTTCTTTTCGTAAGGCTTTGGCCATACTTTGCCCGTGTTGCCGGTGTTGAAAGTGTTGCCGGTGTTGAAAGTGTTGAAAGTGTTGCCGGTGTTGAAAGTGTTGAAAGTGTTGAACGGAGATCATCAGTCTAGCAGTTTCATTCTTTCTCGAACGATCTCACCGGCTGGTGAACGTTGGAAATGGAATTGGGGAATGAGAAATGAAATTGAAATGATGAGAGATTTTTGCATGCAAAAGACCCTCTAACAAACTTTTGGAAAGTGGACGGTTTGTCTGGAATAGGCAATCTCCAGTATTTGAAAAGGCTGCAGACCTCACTTAGGTCGTTTACTCACTAATCGCAAGCGCGGCAGGATTCGAACTAACGCACATTACTACTCAGACGTCAGCTTTCTCAAATATTGGAGATTGCCTATTCCAGACAAGCCGTCCACTTTCCAAAAAGTTTGTTAGAGGATCTTTTGCATGCGAAAATCTCCCATCATTTCAATATTTCTCATTCCCCAATTCCATTTCCAACGTATTCACCAGCCGGTGAGATCGTTCGAGAAAGAATGAAACTGCTAGACTGATGATCTCCGTTCAACACTTTCAACACCGGTAACACTTTCAACACTTTCAACACCGGCAACACTTTCAACGCTTTCAACACCGGCAACACTTTCAACACTTTCAACACCGGCAACACGGGCAAAGTATGGCCAAAGCCTAAAAACATGGTTTTCAGATTCATGCTACTCAGCTATTTTGATAGCGACATCAAAAAGGTTACCATTGTGGGAATAGTAGGATTTGCTCATACAAAAACGTAGTTAAGAGGGTAGCGCTTAGCAGGGGATAAACAATATGTGGGTTTGTAATGAAAGCCCATGTGATAAAGCACCTTATTTGAACGGGCAAACCGTTGTCGCTTTACCACTGTCGGGGTGGGGCTGTCACTGTCACAGCAGTTACTGCCGTTAATGCTGTTTTTTTTTACTTTTCTTACCGCCGTTGCTGATGGATGCCGAAATAATCTCTCATTACCAGGGTAAAGCGGGGGGTGCGGCACGCCGTAGGGGGGGGTCGTTAGGGGGGGGGGTAGGTAGGGGGGGGGGGGTCGTATCGACCCAAGGTCAAAAGCACTTGTACAAGCTGTGTGACTAAATTGACTTGATGAAAGCGCTGTTGAAATCCTGCAAAATTCAAGTTCAACGACACAAACTTGCAGATACCGTATGCCTACCGTAACCTACCGTACCTCTAATCAAGCATAATTGTCGTAATCCGCGTGTCGAATAACCCCTATAGCGAACTCTGAGGTCTCCGAGCAGTAAACAACCTTGTATCATAACTTATAATAACGGGCTAAGGATGTTTACGTGTTTTTGTGTGTGTGTGTGTGTGTGTATGTCTGTGTGTCTGTCTGTAACGAAATTCGTAGAGCGTGTTCCAGCCAACGTCCTAAGCCCAAATTTTGCACATCGCATGCGCCCAACATAAGAGCATACCGTGCAAAAGCACGAGCGATTTTGTTGGGTGGATCCCACAGAAAATGCGCGTCAAACGGAACCGCTTGGGTTCTGGCCAGCAAAATTGGTTCCGTATCACCACCTTTTGCAAAGTCGGGGATGTGTTTGGCATGCTGATGTGCAAGCCATGAACTTAAGTCCAAAAAAGTGGACAAAAGTTTACTACTTTACGAGAACGACGCCAGATGAAATGGTTGCGTAAATGGTTAATTTGCCACAGTTTTACCTAAGCATTTGAGAAAAATTTTGCACAGAGATGTAGCTCACGTTGCCTACTGTCCTTATGGCAGCTACCAAACCAGAAAGAGTCCAAAAACCTACTCAAATTTGTATTTGTTCTTCTGCGAAAAGTTTCATCCACGCGAAATCACCAATCTCACATGAAAAAGCATTTGGAATGGGTAGTTGTTTACATTTTACTCGCGATAATCGGCACCGCGCGGTGAGTTTCATTTTTCATTACCATCATTAGTCAAGAATGAGTAAGGCATATGAAGTAGGACCAGTGCGAGCCTCTGCGAAGCAGAGGTGACGCACTGGTAAAGCAGTAATTTAAAACATGATTAACTTCATCTTAACGGTGAGTAAGCTACCTCTTCTTGCACTCAATACAAAGCACTACTCCTTCTTTGTCCACCTCAGGGATCCCGCCTCAGAAGACCTCCAAACTATTGAATTAGAAGCCAGCCAAAATCTCGTTTTTCCCATTTTTCGCTTTAGATCGCTGTGCTTTCACCAAATATTACTCAGAGCTAAGAAGACGAATCAGGCTCAAAACATCCCTATGGAATCTACGAGGTTTAGGCTATTGATTCATATAAATATTGTCCGCTAAAAATGTTTTTTTGATATAGTTAATGGCCTGCGGCACCCTCCCCCCCCCCTCAAAACCTGCGGCAGCCGCGGGTTTTGAGGGGGGGGGGTGCCGTAGGCCATAAACTATATCAAAAAAAAAAAAACATTTTTAGCGGACAGTATTTATATGGATCGATAGCCTAGATCACCTAGTTTTCACAGGAGTGATTTGAGCCTGATTCGTCTTCTTAGCTCTGAGTAATATTTGGTGAAAGCACAGCGATCAAAAGCGAAAAATGGGAAAAACGAGATTTTGGTTGGCTTCTAATTCCACAGTTTGGAGGTCTTCTGAAGCGGGATTCCTGAGGTGGACAAAGAAGGAGTAGTGCTTTGTCTTGAGTGCGAAAATGGATAGCTAATTCACCTTTGAAACAAAGTTAACCATGTTGGAATTTGACCACTTCACTTAGGTAGCCTAGTATCTTGAATCTTCAGAATTCGCTCAAACTTTGTCTACAGGGGTTAATTGACATGCTCATTATGGATATGTTGCCCATTATGTTTGACAGGGCCTCCAAGTAATGCTATCTTAAGGGTATAGTCCAGGGGGGGGTCTTATTAAGACAGCAATCAGGGGGGGGGGGGGGGGGGTCGTAACCAACGATCGTGTGCCACACCCCTTGCTTGACCCTGCTCATTACCTTAAAGGCACCGTCCACCCAGTTCTGACATCCAAGTTCTTGTCGTTCCAGGGCCTTCTTAAGTCCCTGATTCCGAATATAAAGTCGAGAATCCGCGAAAACCTCGACAACTCCTGTTTCGGAAGACTCACAGGCCGGAACGGTGATTGGATGAGCGTGTACGGATGGGCGGTCATGAATGGGGAGGGCGGCGCCGTCTGGGGGTCTTCGTGCATATTGTCATTCGGAAGCGATTTTCTCCCCTCCAAAGCGGTATTTTGCGCCGCGACATGGGCCTTGGTTTATAGGGGCCCTACTTTGATAAGCTTTCAGAAGCTCAAGACCCTTAAGTTAGGGTGGACGGTGCTTCTAAAACGTTTTTTTACCAAGCGATGAATGCATTAACACTAACAGCCGTAACAGCGATAGCAGCGGTAACACTTGTAACAGTGGTTGACGAGTATGTTTTGGCAAAAGCACTGCCATAATTGAGAGTTCAAATGTTTATTAGCCTCCACTATCTTGGTTGAAACAATTGCAGCTTGAGAATCCACCATTTCCAAGTGCCGGTGAACAAGTATAAGCACGGCATAGGCATAGGAATCTCACACGATCTGCACAGATGTATATCGAGAAGAAGTATTAGAGTACGTTGCCTTTGTGGAATGCTACTCGGAATCTTCCCAACATACCGCTTACCTAGCAATGGGCCCCGGTGGCGCATATTTCCTAATGTCAGTCGCCACGCGATCTTACAAATTGGCAAATGTAAACGGAAAACTTGCATGCTTCAAATGCTTAGTGTGTATAACTTTTGACAAGTGATAAAATCCAATATCTTCTGTTCAGAGTGCGGTAAGTCATGAACAATTGGAGTACTCTCCACTGCGTCCGCATGAAATCGCGCGAAGTGCCGGGGGCATAGGAAGCCAGCTCGCTGCATGTGAAGCATTTTTGCTTCTTCAAACATCAAATTTCATTCCAAGCCCATATTACAACTCTTGTCGTGATAATGCTTGATCACGAGCTAGAATGGCTGATTCGCAGAAATTGATTTTTTGCGTTCTTTTCTTTGTTAGCTTATTCCACTTACCAGCTTTGTGCCCTGTCGCAGCCTTGTCGGTCTAAAGCAATGTACATAAGAATTGCTTCAACTCGTGACGAAATGCACCTGTGCAGTCTCCGTAGAGAATGAGCATATAATGAGCAACAGTAGCTTAGAGAACCGCATGAGAATGGTAGAAAGTAAATCTACCTCACTTATATAGTGCTACTGCTTGCGAATGATATGATATCCTTGGAGGACTTGACGGTTTCTCAATTTAATCTGACAACATTGGCCTTGTTTTTTAGTCTCAAGTTATCATCTGCCAAGCAATGAACATTGGGAAGTTTTCTTCAACCCTGAATCTAACCCAAATACAAAATGCACTTTTCGGAGTGCCTGAGCAGCTTAATGATGAGAACAGATGGAGAAATTACAATAGTGGGCTATCGTGAATACACAAAAATGAAATCACAAGTAAGATTTGAATTATGGATCTGTGTGCAAAATATTGAGGGGTAACAGTCCCAAATAAATCTGCTTCTCGCTATGGCAGTTCACCGAGCAAAAATGAATTTTCAAAACAAAACGAATTTTTGTGTAGAAATGCTCGTGGCCTCAAAGGCAGTGTTGAAGAAAGTCTGATCGTTCGCATGGTCAAACGGAGAGTCATATCATTCTGAGTCGAACTGATCTGCTGAGAGAAAGTTGGTGCTGAATAAGATTCTAGAAGCAATTCACGTCATGTACTTGGATTCTCAAATAGTTTCCGGATAACAAGCGTAAACTCAAAGTCGCGCCGATGTATTTTTCAGTTTCAGCTAATCGTCATCTTCAAAAGTTTTCGATATACTCCGAATCATGTAATGGCAGCCGATGGTGAAATGATTGCAGTGGGCATATTCAGATTTCTACGCCTTGATTTGATATCAAGTAGGAGAACCAGTCTTAAGTGCTTGCACCATTTCACTGTATCTGTCAGTTTGGGCGGGTTATTTCCGTTGTTGTTTTTGTATCTTTTTTTGATTTCTTATAGCAAAGATCAAATACATACTCTCGATACATAGAGCCATGTACTTTATCAACCTTAACTTTGAGCGCCATAATAGAACAGAACCTTCACCTAAAAAACAAAAAAGAAACATCCGGGGCAAAGTCCAGGATGTTAAGCAAATATTAGGAATGAATTTTTAAGTAATCTAAACGGGACCGAGAATTTGCGTTTCTATAGCTATTCATGCTATCAAGAAGTTTAGAACTTCCTGCGAACGTTTCTTTAGAATTTAGGACGACATTTCTCACTTGACCTCAATTTGACTAAACTTGAGTTTCAGAAGTTCAGGGAAGCAGTTGGAGCTGAATAAAACCGCGAAAATGCGCTTAAATCTTGCGCAGAGACTCGCGCACGAAAATGCTGGTCTAACTCGTTAAAGGCATTGTCCAGGTAAACTTGGAGGTATTGAGATCTTAACATAGTGTGAGAGCAACAATCCTGACTAACGCAACAGTTCAAGTGCGATCGAAAAAGGTGGAATCTGAAGGGAGAAAATTGCTTCGGACGAGTTTGCAAAAAAGGGGGCGGTACTCCAATCCCACCCCCTTGACAAGTTTTGACGTGGCGAATGGTCAAGATCTAGTGTACTGGCCACGTCAAAACTTGTCAAGGGGGCGGGATTGAAGTACCGCCTTCTTTTTTTGCAAACTCGTCCGAAGCGATTTTCTCGCTTCAGATCCTACCTTTTTCGATCGCACTTAAACTGTTGCGTTAGTCAGGAGCCATGCTCTCAACTCTATCAAGATCGCAATACCTCCAAGTTGACCTGAACAATGCCTTTAATGAGCGATTTTCATTGCTCGGTACGTTGTCAAGGCTCCTCGTCATGAAGATCAGAATGATATAGAATGTTGCAGGGTGTCGTTGAGACCTAGCGGTATGATTAGAGCCAAATGCCCTGTCGGCTCTGGTCTGTCTCTGCTGCTCGTCTGCGTCTTCGCGCTGCGCGCTACATTGCTACCCAAAGGCGGGCGCGGGGCGTTTGGCTCTGGTACCCTTTTCTTTGTGTCTCGAACTCAGTTTTAGCGAGCTATATATCATATTGAAGCTCTTGATCTCTACTTTCACGCTGACAACGTCGCAGCACTTCATTTTCTGGTTCGAACGAGAAATCCGGCAACAACCTCCTTTTGTTCTTCCCCTAGTTTAACTCTTTTCATGCGGTTTTTTTGTTCATTCTATAAATATTGGTTTTGTTGATGATGTAGACAACGACATCCAATGTTTATCTCTTTGGTGAAAAATCGCAAAAAGTGCGCTTTTATACCTTGTTCTGTTTCAGTGCTTCCGCAGCGATTTTTTTTCCAGCTTGAACGATCATTGCTCTAAGTAATGAGCGCAGCAACTGGACGCACCAAAAACTAGTTTAGTTTTTCGTGTATTTCGACTTGGTTAGAACAAAACTCTGCGTTTTCAAAACTAATTCTTTTCTTATTGATCTCTCCTTAATTAGCGTGTTACCACCGATACATGGTTGGTTTTGGATTGAACGCAAAAACAAAACTAGCTTTTCCTAGTTTTCCCCCGTGTTGTGGATTACGTGGTCGTGGAGAAAAACCTGCAAAGCCGCTAAATAAAAGATTTCGAACTTATTGCAGCGTTTTTATCCGATTTTCAGGAGTTTCTTTTGCTTTTACTAGCTGTGTAGCATTTTTTTCTTCTCTGGTTTTCTATGAACAACCTTCACTTTGTAGGAGGGGCAGATACTCAAACAACGCTCACTTTTGAGGCCCTGTCTTTAGACTATCAAAGGTGGGATTGAAGTCACTGCTGTGACGAAAGAAAGGTTGAGCTTGTAATTACAATAATAGCGCTCGAATGTTTATGCTTGCGATGACTTCAAAGTTGTGTAGATAATTTCATCTTCATCCCGTTTTTTTCTCCTGATGGCACAATCACAGTTATCATGAACAATATAAGCTTTTGCATATATAGAAGGAGGTTCGGTTGCAATTGGCTCCTCCAAGCTTTTTTCTCCCATTTGGCGAAGTTCTCAGCTTAAAAGGTTCGTATCATATTTAATGAGAGATCGCTGGTCAATATTACATAGGCACAATTTCCTCTTTTCTCCCACTTAGCCAGACGCTCGGCTGTGAATTCCTTTTTGTCAAGAGTAAGTCCATTTACCCATTGCCATTCTCGTTCTTTTTTGGCTAAACCAATCCATACCTGCATTTTCTTGTCACCTTTCACCAAACCTAAAAAAATCGTTGGTAAATTTTTTGAAGTTTGAAAATCTCTTTTATGTGAAAATAGAACCACCTGTACAATCTTAACCATTGCTTACGTTGTATGTAGTTTCCGTCGAGCAAACAGGATAGTGGCATTCAAGTTTGCTGCATATTAACAAAACCTGGGTGTGAGCGATTCGGCTCAGGCAATGATGAAGGGAGGCGAATTTCAAAGGATGATACGGACACGGCGATTTCCAACCCACTGGCGAAAACCTAGGCCAGTGGCGACTCACTGGTAAAACTCTGGGAGTCACCTCAGATAATCGATCGGACCCCTCCGGCGGACAGTCGAAATCTGCCAGAGCCGCAGCGGACCCAGTTGACCAATGAGAGCGGGGCGAGGGGCGGTCCCTTCTTGTGACGTCACAAAGAAGGCAGATCGGACCCCTCCGGCGGGCTTGCAAATCTCTCCGCCGCAAGTACGCCAGATTTGCTGGGGTCGCGGCGCAGAGATTTGCCCGCCGCGAGTCTGCCAGATCTAGAAGAGCCGCGAAGCAGAAATCGGAGGGCTCCGGCACAGAAAATAAGAGGCCTCCGCCACAGAAAATGGGAGGCCTCCGGCGCACAAAATGGGAGGGGTCCGGCGCACAAAATGGGAGGGGTCCGGCGCACAAAATGGGAGGGGTCCGGCGCACAAAATGGGAGGGGTCCGGCGCACATATATGTGCGCAGTCAATTTGCTGTGATACGCAGCTTAGCATTTTCGAAAATAAGTTGCCGTCGCTCTCGCCTTACTCGTTTTTTGTCGTTCTTTCGCGCTCGTTTTTCTTTTTTTTTGGTTTTTCGTGTTCCTCGTCGGCGCGCTGGCGTTTATTTGTTCATCTCTTTCTTTTCAGGTTTCAAGTTTTAGGTTTTCGTGCGGATGCACTTAGTCACTTTTAGTGTTTGGCTCTTTTCGACTTGCTGAGACATCGTTGACTATTGATGGAGTGGTTTTTGTGATTGAGATTCGGCTTCGGTACCCTTATGTGGTGTCTCTTGAATTATTTTCGTGTTTCCGGGATTGATTGATGCTAGAATTATCCGTACACTGCTTGGCTCTGTCTCAGGGAATATCTTATACGGTTAGTCTGTCGCATTTTTGCTAAATGCAGATCTGCTATGCAAGTTCATGCAACTCTTTCACATTTTTCAGTATATCGTCTACTTACAGTTTACCTGTTAGAAATTGTGACAGGCGCTCAAGAAATTTTCATTTTTTTCGAGATTCCAAGTTCTCAGACTTTGCACAAAATCATAATATGCAGGGAAAGTCTGTGTCCTTGTTTCTGATAATAGATAAGCCTTCAAATTTGCATTCCAGCGTGAGGGTCACTCCAGGAGAAAAGGTTTACAGAAATGTCCACGTACCGTCGCACCGCAAACCAAACTTTACGTAGCTGCAGGTGAATGGAGAGATATCACAGTGAAGGTGAGTGGTACATTCTACGAAGTGCTCATTTTTGAGCTTGGATTTGTAAGGTCCAAAACCTCGATCCGATCTTCATGACGGATTTTCGATGTCACTTCAAAGTCGGAAACGTTGAACGCGAAAAACCTGCTGTCGGCACATTCGACGACAATGTGATATGAGGAAAATTGCAATTGTTTTGATTTTGCATCCAATTCTGTTTGTGCTTGTGATGAGATGCAGTTCGATCACTACGGGCTTGGTATATCGGGAGGATCAGCTCCGGTCGAGTTCAACGTTGTGTGGTCCTCGAGAGATTCTTCCAGGTAACACACTCTGGATAACATTGGTGGAGTGGCCGTGGAGGTTAATCGGAATTTTTTGAGTGATAGGTGTCGTAATTCGTGGTTTTTCCAGGTTTATAAGTGCGAAGCTCTTGCATCGAACTGTGGCCGATGTCTTACGCTGAATGCTGAAAAATATGAATGTGGCTGTGTTATAGACAGATGTGTTAGACCAAAGGCATGCTTGGCAAGATGCTTGGCAAGGTAGGTTTAGTTACTGGTTCACTAGTCTTATTACACATGGTCACCCCACCTGATAGTACTTTCTCGCTAGTAAATGCGACAATTCCACAGGTGAACGCAGCAGCAGTAGACCCAACCTTCGTTTTTCCACCGACCGGTCCCTTTTTAATCCTGAAGTTTTCATTAGCTGGATTTGCACACAGCTGCGTGCTATTCAGCCAATCTTGTGGTGATCTTGCCAAGCATGCCATTGGTCTAACACATCTGTTGTCTATAACACACCAGCCACATTCATACTTTTCAGCATTCAGCGTAAGACATCGGCCACAGTTCGATGCAAGAGGTTCGCACTTATAAACCTGGAAAAACCACAAATCACGACACCTATCGCTAAAAAAATTCCGGTTAACCTCCACGGCCACTCCACCAATGTTATCCAGAGTGTGTTTTCTGGAAGAATCGCTCGAGGACCGCACAGCGTTGAACTCGACCGGAGCTGTTCCTCCCGATAACCAAGCCCGTAGTGATCGAACTGCATCTCATCACATCTGGCACAAACAGAATTGGATGCAAACCAAAACAACTGCAATTTCCAGTAAATCGTTTTGCACTCAATCTATCATGACTTATAATAAGCGGCTTAATCTGAAGTTGTGTGAAGTTTGTCCGTTACGAAATTACAATGAGGAATGATTTACAATAATAAATAGCATGTGAGGTTGAGATAGCGAGTATTGTTCATTTTTAACTACGGCTCCCACGTTGCAGTCAACCGAACAATGATTTGAGGGACAAGTTCTGAGACAGTGAGTTTACCACGGTTCATGATAGCCAGTGCGAACCTCTGCGAAGCAGAGGTGAAGCACTGGTATATATATAAAACTCAATGTCTGTGAGGATGTTCGTTTAGTTGTTCGTTCGTTATAGAAACGCCAGTCATTACACCGATTGAGCTAAAACTTCGCACACATATGTTCTCGACCCCGGCGGTGGTTTATGGCAACTTTTTGCGGCAATTCGCAGGGTCCTTCTATTGATTTATTGATTTGTTTACCTAAATCTGGGAAAATGAGAGTTTGACGTGCTCTAACCAATCATTTTCCAGTAAACATGTGGGCAGGGTTAGTAAAGTTCATTCTAATCTCAAGGTCGACAGCGGGTTCGTCTTAATGCGCTTTTCGCGCATTATAGAAGTTAGAGAGTGGAAGTATGATCGGCTTCCAGATTCCTATGGAGGCGAGCTGCGGACTTCACTAATTTGAAGATAAGCTCAACGAGAGAGTACGAAATACAATGCTATAACGTGGACGTTTAACGAATGTCGAAAATCAGGGAAGTGCGCAACCCGCCTCTACGAATGTGGGAGCGATGATATATTGGTAGGTAAGGGAACGAACTCCGCCAGTTTGAGGCCGCCTTTGCTGGCAACCAGTCCTTTCGAAATATTGCGGTTGTGGTTGCAGGACCAATAGTCCGCGGAGATGTTCCAAAATGGCGGAGTTCGTTCCTCTACCCTATTTTGGTTAAACTAAGAGTCTCGGGTGAGACCGGGACCATCAGCTAGTTTGAAATAAATGTTTCGTCTCGTCTTCATTCTTCTATTTTCTATCTACAAACGCTAGGGGTGAGAGGGAGGGGGTAGAGTACGGGGGTGAGGGTCGCGCTGAAGTCCTACCCGGGGGGGGGGGTCGTATTCGGCTAATTTGGGTGGGGTTTAGAGACATAATTGGGGTTTGGAGCTTATTTAGGGTTAGTTACAGTATGCCGCGGCAGACTTGCGGAGCACAAAATGGGGGGGGGGGGGCTCCGGCGCACAAAATCGGGGGGGGGGGGGGGCTCCGGCGCACGAGTGGCAGACCCCCCGCTGGGGAAACCCCGCGGCCCTGCCATTTCTGCGCCGGAGGGATCCGATCAACTGTCTGAGTTGTTCCATCGAGTCATGTATCTGCCACTCCCCCCTTCCCCCTCCGCCCCCGCAACCCACCCGGTACTTTGCCGTACCACTTTACCCCGGAGTGTTTTGTCGGGTACAAAATTTAAAAGCGACGCGCTCGGTAAAGCGGCCGCTGCTGGCGGTGTGATTCCCTACGTGGAGTTGACTTACCGGACTTTTCAAATGCTCTTCACATAACCAACTTTGGAACAAAAAGTATAGCAGTGGATGAACAATAAAGTCAAAATTTAACATAATCTCAGCAATCCATGAAAGTAGTACAGTGTTATAAGCATTTCTGTTTTTGCTTCTATATAAAGCTGAATGTCTATTTTTTTGTCTGTTTGTATGTCGGTTTCCCTGTGCAGTATGTCCTGAAGGAAAATTTTTCTAAACCGATTAGGACTGGATTTACACATACTCTTCGAGGCGGGGCGATGTCATAAGCTACGCGTCGTTATCGATCGACTTCGATTTTGTCGATTTTTTGCAAACTTTGCGCAACAAGTTTGAAAGTTGGCAAAGGGAATAAGCAGGGTGATAATAGGGTTGAGCAAGAGGTCAGGCACAAGTCTTTCGAAAACGATCCCACCTTCTCTTCCCTGAAAGCCTCAAACCACCCCTTATTTTTCCTCTCCACCTTCAGAACCTCGAGTGTGACACACTTTGCTTGTCATGAAAAGGTTCTAAATTTCAAGTTTGTTGATGTTTCCTGACTGCACTTTACTCGTAATCTGACGGCGGATTTTGATCTGAATGGGCTTATTGAAAGTACCATAATTTCTCTACAGGTGTGGTGTTTAGCTCCAAAATTGTAGCAAGATGAGGCTATGAGCTCAATGTAAATACCAGGAATGTGGCGCTCTCTGAATTTTTTGAGCAAGTTAAGGGGTCAGGCACGAGGTTATAAAAGCTCAGGCAGTTTGACCTTTTGAGGTGTTGTGCCTGACCCCGCTAACTTTATGTCAGGCTTTTTCACCCAAGTTTTATGCGGTTTGCCAGTACAAACACCGAAGATTATGTAAGAAAGTGTTCGAGTTCACCTCCACTTGTTTCGGTGCGGTAATCTGTGGAGTTGAAGGAACAAGGTGAGAAAGCGGTGTTGAATTTTTGGCAGCACTTCTCAATCTATTATTTGGAAGCGGTAAAAAGTCTGATTTCTAGCATACACTGATAGAGATATTATTACTTGTTGTAAGTATAGAAAAGCTGATTTTTTTCGCTTTTGAACCCAAGTCAATCATGTTCGAAATTCACTAAGACTTTAGGAAACAATAGAAAATGTGATAAGTAAGGTTTGTAGAGTTCGTAGGGTAACTTAACATGCTGATCACGGAGATCATACACTCAATTTACACAGCCAGCTTCTTTAGTAACTTTACAGTAGAATGTTAAGGTAAGAGATAAAGAATTTAAATTTGTCTGATTTGATAACGGAGTTAATCACTTTGCTGTTTACGACAGTCATTTTCTCAGTAATGGTGAAGTTTGATATTCACCGGTCTAGCGGTTTTCTTCTTCATCTTACTCGATCATAGTTTTTCCCCAATTTTTCAACGAATCATTGATTTTCCCCAGCCTTACCCCCAACACGCCTCCCTCCCCCATCGGGAACCCTGACCCCACGCCCAACCCTGGTGATAATGAAAGCAACACTAAAAGAGTACTTACTGCATTCATCGATTTTAGCGATTTTTTTTGCAAAACTTGATTTTAGGAGCTCGGAATTGATGAAAAGGGCTAAGTGAGCATTTCACGAAGACATAGTGGGGACAGGGAAATGTCATATAGCAGTGGAACAGGGACAGGGTGGTGTTGTACAGAAAAAGGAAAGATAGCGTTATTATAATGCACAGGGCCGGGTGGAGTTTTGCCAGCTAGTTCACAATAACGCGGAGAAAGAAGAGTGAATTTTGAGCAGTTTCAAAATTAAACATACCAGCAACGCGAAGAAACTCTTGTTCGTTTTCGATAGTGGTTAAAAATGCATCGTCTTCTATGCAAGCCATCTCTGCCCTCTCAAATGTAAGCTCATAGCACGACTTCTAATATAAATGGATATAGATGCTTTTACATTATAAAAATTTGCCGACTCACCATATAACAGACATCTCCGAATTTGACAAATTTTTCGCAAGTGGAAGCTTCTGATACGAGAATAAATGTCATAAGGACTGCCGCTTTCATCATCATGATGTCCTTGTTTTTGGTTGTGCTCTGTGTTAAAATGAGTGCGTAAGATCACGAGCCTGACTGCGGAAGCGTCACCAGTTAAGTATGAATGTCCAGTAGATTAGAATTGAGACGATAAAAATTACGAAACTGCGAATCATGCTGCGAGATGTCATGCCAGTGACTTCCAACCTACAGTAAACGGCCCTTATTTATTAGGTTGTCTCGTTCGCACCATTTTCAAAAAATCATAACTTCTTTGCATCATAACGATTTTGCGCAATTTAAATTTTATTGAAAATCGTAAAGCATGTAGTTTCCAATAGTCCCCAGGAGACTTTCCAGCATGTTCAGATTGCAGAGATAAAAATGAAAGAACGAAATCATCCGAAATTCGGAATTTTTGAGAAACAATTTCAAAAATCTAGAAACTGCGCAATAAAATCCAGAAAAGCCATTATCCTAATTTTTCTTATATTTGATTACTAACTGAGTTAAGTTTGTGCTGATCGAGCTCTTCTTTCAAAAGTTATGATTTTTTGAAAAAAAAATTCCGAAAAATCACTTTCCTAAGAATTCCCAAGAAATTGATTTTTCAGCATTTTTTTTTCGAAAAATCATAACTTCTGAAAGAAGAGCTCGATCAGCACAAACTTATCAGTTAGTAATCAAATATAAGAAAAATTAGGATAATGGTTTTTCTGGATTTTATCGCGCAGTTTCTAGATTTTTGGAATTGTTTCTCAAAAATTCCGAATTTCGGATGTTTTCGTTCTTTCATTTTTATCTCTGCAAACTGAACATGCTGGAAAGCTACCAGGGGACTATTGGAAACTACATGCTTTACGCTTTTCAATAAAATTTAAATTGCGCAAAATCGTTATGATGCAAAGAAGTTATGATTTTTTGAAAATGGTGCGAACGAACTTTCGGGACAACCTAATATACGCAGTTTCGCCGTGGACATTTACACCTTGGCCTGCTCGATGCCATAAATAATCAGAAAAATTTTCATGATGTACCGTTTTCTGTTTGAGACGTAGCCAACAAAACAGGTGCTGGCTACATCTCAAACAGTTGTTTAGAACACTGAGAAATAAATTGAATTACACTTTGAAGTATTTGCAAGTCAATCATGGAGAAACTTGGAATCTCGGTCAGCCTGGATCGACCGTAGTTTAAGCCGAAGTCAAAATATAACGGAAAATAGCCCGACTAGACGGTCTTCGCTTCTACCCCAAAGCCTATATCCAAACTCATCCAATCCTATTTCTCCTTTCAGTAGCAACCCGACTTCCTTGACTTCGGCTTCAATGGTCCCGACAAATTTGTTGGAGGACTGCTCATTGCGAAAGGCCTTTTCACGTTTTTGCAAAAAGCATTTCCTCTGAATTGATTTCGAGCCTTGTGCCAAGACTGTTAACGTTGTTAAACATGTTTTCAACCTTTCTAAGCTTTGGAGAAGGCGACAACGCCCAAACGTCAGCCCGAACAAAGAATTAACATTATTGGCACAATACTCAACATTCAACTCAAAAGTTACAGAACTCATGTGTCAGCTGCTTTCGTTGAGTATATCAGCGACAATGGTACTTGTCTTTTGACATGGAGAATAGGCCTAAAGTAGTCAGTCGATGGATAGGAGCTTGAGCGGATCTAAAATGACGGTCCCATCATTTATCTGTGCGCGCGTCCTTAGGCTGGATTTATGCTGATCCGGAAGTTCTGAAACATTTCCAGCACAGTTCTTGCACTGTCCCGGAACTGTGCTGAGGTGCAGCCGTCCGCACGCGGTTTTGAGTGGCGGGAGTTAGATTTTGACCATTTTCAACGATTCTTCTTTCAGATTTCACTCATTTCGGTCTCATCCCTCTATCTCCCTGGATGAGAAACGATCCGATCTTAGAGCGGAGTTAGAGAGCACCGTTCTGCTTTTATGTATTCGGGAGAGTGGGTTTTCGTGCGCTCATCCATTCTCTCTTCGTTATTTTTGTTAAGCGCATAGACACAGTTTCAAGATTACAGAAGTAGGTTTGAACGAAAGAAGAAATAACGAGAGCACAGAGACCCATCTTCTTGGATAATTGAAGCAGAACAGCGTTTTTTCTTCATTCCCGCTTTCATGCTCGCAGCTTTCCTAATCACAAGGAGGATCAGGGTAGAAGAAAGAACGGATAGGCATGATATGGAAAAAGGAAAAGGATTGAGAAAGCCCAAAAGTAAGAAAGTAAGAAAGCGCTTTCATGAAACCTTAGAAAAAGGTCCCGATTTTCCGCATTTTTGAGAATTATTCGCATGCCCTCACGATAGATGGCTGGGCACACTACGCAGAGGCTTCCTAAAACACATGAAGTACGTGTGATCAAAAATAACGAAAAAATAAACGAGCTCATGGAGACACACCTTCCCGGATAAATGGAAGCAAAATGTCATCATTCTTCGACCGATTTGAGATCAAGGCTTTTCCTATCAAAAGGGCAAGCGGAGTAGAGTAATGAGACCGAAATAGGCGAAGCTTGGAAAAAAATCTGTTGAAAGTGGTTAAAAATTCACTCCCGCCGCTCAAAACCGCATGCGGGCTGCTGCAGCTCATGCTGCACAGTTCCGGCGCGGTTTCAGCACAGTGCGGTAGGTGAGCTGAAACTGCCCAGAACTTCCGGGTCAGTATGTTCCTGTTCCATCTCCTACATGGCGATTACGTGGCATGCTGTGCTTTGCTGGGTTGAGAAGAGAGTAGAGGATAAAGTTTTCAAAGGCGGACTTAGCAATGTGCCTGCAGAGCCATTTCATGGCGAGACATTTTAGCCTCGTTTTTGTCCGATCTAAATGTCGGACACCTGTCGGATACAAAAAACGAGCAACCTCAATCATCTTGTAACCAAACAACACTTTAGATGAGAGTGATTTTCTTTTACTCTTTTTGTTGAAATAGTAATGCGATGCAACAAGGGCAGGCTTATCACCTGCTCTAGTCTTTCATAGACGATCACCGATCTTCGTATGTGGGGCGAAAACATATTGAGGACAAACATCACTTCTATACACAGTAAAAGTGCAGCTGGCAAATTGCCATATATGATTTGCACATGCATATGAATGAAAAGCCTTTGAATAAACTATTTTGAGTTTTATTAGATTCCTCTTAGAAAATTTTCAGCTTGAAAGAAATCTTCATATCCTTAAGTTCCGGATTACTGAATTCCATGTTCTTTACCCATCCGTAAATCCTTCTATATATATATATAACCGATTGGTGTACTTGTCTGTACGCTGGTGGATGCTGTCTGTACGTCCTCAATGGTGTTTTTCTGGTCGATGGTGTTTTCGTGTCTGTCGTTTGTTGCTGCTTCTACCAAATTTATCGACTACTTGCAAATTTTGAACTACGGGGCTGGGAGTTGGCACAGGGGGGTAAGCGAACATGCTGATTACGAATACGATATTAGTTTTTAGAATTATCAGTTATTTTTATCATTTTGTCGACTTTTTTTGCGAAGTTCAAGCTATGGGGCTGGGAGTCGGCGAAGGGGGGTAAGCGAACATGCTGATTACGAACACAATACTAGTTTTTAGAATTATCAATTACTTTCATCATTTTATCGATTTTTTGCAAAGTTCCAGCTACGGCGCTGAGAGTTGGCACAGGGGGGTAAGCGAACATGCTGATTACGAATTTGATAACCATTTTCAAAAATGCCCATTACTTTTATCATTTTATCGAGTTGTTTGCAAATTTTGAACTACGGGGCTGGGAGTTGGCAAAGGGGGGTAAGCGAACATGCTGATTACGAATACAATATTAGTTTTTGGAATTATCAGTTACTTTTATCATTTTATCGATTTTTTGCAAAGTTCGAGATACAGCGTTGAGAGTTGGCACAGGAGGATAAGCGAACATGCTGATTACGAATATGATATCGTCGTCTCCCCGGAGTACGTTGGGCGGAGCTTTTGCGGACATTTCAACACCTTGGTGAACATGTTAACCCTCTACTACAAGGCACTGTTTTTTGTGATCTCTCGCTGGCAACCCTGCCACATTGACAACAGCATATAAACGTGGCAGTTTAGATAGTACAAAGAACCATGCTTTGCAGTAGAGGCTTTAAAAGTTCATCAACGTGTTGAAATGTCCGCAAGAGCTCCGCCCAACGTACGCCGAGGAGACGACGATAACCATTTTCAAAGATGCCCATTACTTTTATCATTTTATCGTTTTTGCAAATTTTGAACTACGGGGCTGGGAGTTGGCAAAGGGAGGTTAGCGAACATGCTGATTACGAATATGATAACCGTTTTCAAAAATGCCCATTACTTTTATCATTTTATCGGTTTTTTGCAAAGTTCGAGCTACGGTGCTAAGAGTTGGCACATGAGAGCAAGCGAGCATGCCGATTACGAATACGATAACCAATTCAGAAAACACCCATTACTTCTATTGGTTTAATTGATTTTTTGCAAAGTTTGAACCACGGCGCTGGGGGTGAGGTACAGGCAGGTGACTGAGCATGCTGATCCCGAACACGTTCTTATTTTACAAGTTATCAATTACCTTCACTGGCTTTATCGATTTTTTGCAAAGTTTAAGCCACTAAATTGGGATTCGGCACATGGGAAAAAGCGAGCATGCCGATTTCGATTGTAATAAGTGCTCTTGAAAGTACCCATTATTTCTGTCGATTTTCTATTCTTTGTTAGAGCTACACGGCTGATATTTGGCACAAAGTTGTATGTGAGCACGCTCACTGCCAAGATAGTAACCGTTTTTGAGACTACTCATTACTTTTCTTGATTTCATCTTTTTCCAACTGAAGCTACGAGGCTGAGATGGCACTGGTCCGGGGGTAAGTGAGCATGCTGAGAATTCTATAATCACACTCGGAATTGATGAAGACGGTAAATTTACCTAAAGTTGTTATAAATTCACTTTTGCCCGCCTTTACCTTTTAAAATCCTGCCTCTAAAATCAGAAAAGCACAAAGAGCCTGGTCTCGAGGGAAGAAAAGGCTTATAAATTGAGGCGGCAAGATATTTCCGTTAAGAATTTCTACGAGTCAATATCTAATTATATAGAAATTTCCTTGAAATTTACTTCTGTCCCTTCCACTCTGCAAAAATCGGACTTCTGCCTCTGAAGGTAGAAAAGTGGTCTCGAGGGAAA